TGTTCGAGAGAATTGTAGATTGTGGGCTGATTTTTTTTTCCCCCAAAATAAAAAATATTTTTTTGTTCCAGCCACTAAAAACGTGACACGTTTCTGAGATGAACCAACTCATGGGTTTCATCTAACTGAAACGATCCAGAATAATTTCAGCCCAAACTCAATTTTTTATTAATATTTTGGCCCATGAAACCCACTCAGATTTATGAGTAAACATGCTCTAATGAATGTGCTCCAAATGTGTATGTTTCTACATATTTGTATCCCATATAAATAATGCTTTAATTATTAAATTATTTAATCGCATGTTATTTATTAAACAAACCCACATGTTAACTAAAGTTCTATGCCAACTTTATTTAAATCAAATATCTTACATCAGTTTGACATTTGTTGTTGACTAATTTAATCTAGGAATTTCATGATTAATCAAGATTACACGAACACACAAGTTTCATTATTGTAACGAGTCCAAAATGTCTAATCATCATCTTATAACTAAACTGAATTATTTTATAGCATAATCAACGCAGACGCTTAGAGCAAATGCTTAAGAATATTTGGCATTTAATTAAATAAAAATTAGCTAATTTAAGAAGTAGCGACGCTTAAGTTAGCGTTTTAAGCCACGCATCTTGAGTGCCATGTGGCAGCGTACGATTGAACCGAATTAAAAACAAAAAAACTCGAGAAAGATGGCGATATGTTCTTCTCTTCCACTTCTCTCTCTCTTCGGAATCGATCTCTGATGGCGATTTTTTGGCGATTCGAAGAGTTAAAAAAATGGCGAAAAAGAGAGAGTAAAGAGTAATCTTCTTCGTCTTCGTCTTCGTCTCCGATTTGGAGAGAAACACTCCGCACTCCTGATTGTTTAGAACACCAAACCATGGACACGTTCCTACAATGGACAGCAGAGCTTGGCGTTTCAGATTCAATTGATTCTTCTCGATCTCACGATTCGTGTCTCAACCATTCCCTTTCCATCGCCGACTTCCCTCTCGTCGGCGGGTGAGTGTAGAGAAACGAATTCGATTCCCTTTTCAAAAAATTATGTCTTTCTCATTGCTCAATACTGATTCTGATGGAACTAGGGGGGTTTGGGTGTTGTTCGTGAGCTCAGGAAAGGAGAATTGGTTTTCAAAGTTCCGAGAAACGCTTTGATGACTACATAATCCATGGTCGCTAAAGATGAGAAATTGAGGAATGGGGTTAAACTCTTTCTTCGACTCAGGTTTCTCTTTCTTTGACCCATTTGATTTGTTTTTTGTTTTGTATCTGAGGAAATCTCAACAAACATAATTCTTGAAATTTGCAGATATTGATGTATGCTTATTGTATAAAATGAGCAAGGGGAAGAACTCTTTTTGGTATCCATATTTGGTGCATTTACCCCGTGACTATGATCTCTCGGCTACATTCGGAGAATTCGAGAAGCAAGCATTACAAGTTCTGTGTCAACTACACTTTTTGTGTTATTATTTTGGTTTTGAATATTTTCGATTGAGATCCAAGTCTCTTTCTCTTTTTCTTTGGTGATTTTAATTCTAAAGTTGGAATTTTGTGATTCATGTCATTAGGTTGAAGATGTTGTTTGGGCTACAGAGAAAGCCATAGCCAAGTCTCTGTCTGAGTGGAAGGAAGTTGGTCCGTTGATGAAGGAGTTAGATCTCAAGCCGAAGTTTCAGAGTTTCCAAGCATGGCTTTGGGCTTTTGCAACTGTAAGAATAGTTGAATACTTCATCTATATCACATGACATGTGTTCAAGAAATCGATTATAATTGATTAGAACCTTACAACTGAATTTTGATTTGTGATGTAGTTGATGAGAATGAGATGGATTTCTAGGTGGACGCCGATTTAATTTCCAGTTATGTTGAAAACAACTTTCATGCTTGTGTTCAAGAGAATGCAAACCCTGGTAAAGAATGTCAAGGTACTTCAGTTATGGAACTTTTGATTCTTGTTAGAGTGTTATGTTGTGACTAAGCTCTGTTTGTATCACTTTTGATGGAGAATTTATAATGCATTTTTAAGGATTTGTTGGGCTGTCTTGTTTTACGAATTCTTGATGGTGCATTAGTATTATTTCAAGGTGTTTATGTGCTTGTGTAGTTAAGATTTTTTCATAATTTTTTTTTTCCTTAAGCATTCCTAATAGAATTTTCCATTGGAGTAGAGAAAACAAAAGACTCTCAACAAAGATGCTTAAAACAACTTTAATAATTAAATATATATTAAGCACCCGATAACCACCCCTTGCATCCCACGAACGTTAATCTTCTTCACTCACCATCAAGTCTCAATTCCCAACACTGTCACAAATAAAAGAGAATCTTCTCACAATGAAACTCAACGTCGTCGTTTTGCTCCTCCTCCTTCTATTCACAACCACCACGTGTTGTCCGTCGTCTGACCGCCGTGCACTCCTAGCTTTCCGGTCAGCTCTTCACGAGCCATACCTCGGCATTTTCAACTCATGGACCGGTCAAGACTGTTGCCACAACTGGTACGGTGTTAGCTGTGACTTGATCACTCACCGAGTCGCCGCCTTAAACCTCCGCGGCGAGTCAGAAGACCCGATCTTCGAACGAGCTCACCGAATCGGTTTCATGACCGGATGCATCTCTCCGGCGATCTGCGACCTTCCTCGTCTCTCCGCAATCACAATCGCCGATTGGAAAGGTATCTCCGGCGATATCCCCAAATGCATCACTCGTCTTCCTTCCCTCAGTACACTCGACCTAATCGGAAATCAAATCTCTGGCGGGATTCCAAACGATATTTGACGGTTACACCGGTTAGCTGTTTTAAACGTTGCAGAACCGAATATCCGGTCCAATCCCGAAATCGTTAACCAATCTCTCTAGCTTAATGCATTTAGATCTCCGTAACAACTTAATCTCCGGTTTAATCCCTCCGGATTTCGGCCGGTTAACTATGCTAAGCCGTGCATTGTTAAGCGGTAACCGAATCACCGGTCGGATCCCTGAATCACTAACCCGAATCTACCGGTTAGCGGATCTCGATCTCTCCGGTAAGCAACTGTACGGTACAATCCCACCGGTATAATAATCTCAAAGGACCGATTCGGAGTTCGATCTCCGGTGCTTCGTTTATCGGACATTTGGATCTTAGCCACAAACATCTTTGTGGGAAGATTCCGGTGGGTTCGCGGTTCGATCACCTTAAAGCGGTGTCGTTTATGTTTAACGATTGTCTTTGTGGCAAACCCTTGAGGGCTTGTTTAAAAAACTGATTTTTTATGATAATTTGGTTTTTTTTTTAATTAGAAACGTTATGTTTTATGATTATGCATTAAAAAAAGAGAGAGAATTTATATATGTTTGCTTATGTTTTGTGTTTTATGATAAAAATTCTTAGTTGAATTGTGGGATGACCAACATTTATATGAAAGTCAGTTTATCAAACGATTAGTGTAATTTTTCAAAACAATAGTTTTGTTACAATATTGATCATATTCTATTACAAAGATATTTCCTTGA